CAGTTGCTGTGGAACTGTCTGCCAAATTCTTTTATAATGAAGGGTGGCGTATGCAAATACTGCTAAATCCTTTGAGTCCGCAGCGGGGGAAAACACGTCAGAAACCTATGGCGTTATATAGCTTCTTACATGGAGCACTCTTGACAACAATCTTAGAGCACTTATTTCCAAGAATTCTAGAAGTTCAAGATGCCAGGCAAAATTTTGGAAAAGCCCTACATGCAAATGATAGCATAGTCAGACCCTGACCCATGAATCGGAATCTACATATCAGCTCTCTCGAGGTACCTAGAATTCATTAGGTGCTTTCTGAGAATGGATAGAAAGGCTATAAAAAGGAGTTTGATTTATAAGCTAGCATGCTAGGTTAACCTTTAGAGAAGAGCTCACTAACCTTCCCTTCATGCTCCCCTTCCCCCTAATTCCTGGAGGTTGCATGTGCTTCTCATCCTGCCAGTGCACTGCATTTCTTGTTTTGCGATTACTTTTGTCTGTTGTCCCTCTGTCCTCAAAGATGATCACCGCACCTATGGCCCGAGGTGGGATGCAAATAAGACCACGGTTCCCGCCTACCACCGCTGTGTCTGCTACGCCGCCAAGCTCCATTCCTTTGGGCGGACAGCAAATGCCACAGGTATTTACTGAGTCAAAGCACATTGTGTCAGGAATTGTGCAAAGCATTCAATGCGCGATTGTATAGCACTTGCTTTCAAGCAAGCTTTTTCATCAAACAACTGACTTGCTGGTGTTACTCAGGGTATTGGGCTGTTTAGGTTTTTTATGGATCCTTTTTCACTTTAAATAATAGGTTTTCTGAGAGCTTGGGATATCAAATAAAGCATTTTTAAAGCACCATAGATCTTTATTTTAACATTTAAAACGTTTCCATGTTCATAATTGATTCAAGTCTCAAATTAATTTTTGTGGTTCCTGCTTAGTCTTTGTCCATACTCCAACAGCGTGCGTTTATGGGAGTGGTGCACGTCAGTACTGCAGTGTGCTGGCTGAGCTGTGTCTGGGACCTTACTCATCACGTGTTCATGCTCTGTACAGGTGCTTCTTTCATTAATAGTAAACTTGGCTCATTGCAGTTTGAGTAGCTTCTTGGCATGGTATCAGGGACCAGGAAAAACAGAGCTGCTCTTTTCTTTGACGGTTGTGTAGGAGGAACTACCAGGAGGATTGCACTTGTACCTGCGTCAGAGAAGAAGCTGTGTAGGCAGGCTGGCAGCACCTATCCCGCTGTTGCTGGAAGATGCGTGTGTCGGAGCACTGCATCTGCCTGGTGCAGGTCCAGATCTGCTAAAGACCTCACAGTCATGCTTTGCAAGCAAAATGGGTCGTTTTGGGGGAGCGGGAATGGGAGAACTGAAATGAAATAGAACTGAGTTCTTACCAGTAAGTCACGAAACGAGGCTCTGCTCTGCTCTGCCGAAATTTGCTGAGCCCAGTGTGACTGCTGTTGGTTTAAATACGTGTTGTATTACGATGGTGGAATAGCGTTCAACTGCATTTTTCTGTCTGTTGTTCATGAACCTCATGTCTTGTTCTTCTAGATGCTAATTTTCAAATTTAATACCAGGTGCAGTTTTAGTTCTTAATACCGCTGCATTCTGTTCATAGGTTTAATGACATTTTCTTTACTCTTTGCATTTTTGTTTCCTATGCAAGCTTGTCGTGGGGCTGTGGAATGTCTGAAACTGCTTCCTAGCGCTGCTGCATCAAGTTTAGTAGGCACAGCCTGTTCTTCTCAGGAATTTGCTCAGGTAGATACAGTGACCAGAAGGATTCTGCAGAGCTAGGCAAACACATCCGTCGTCGTTTCTGGTTTAGGATGGATGGTCATTTCAGGCCAGGTCTTTGTAATATGTTAACTGAAATAAAACGCAGGCATAGCTGTTGAGTCAAAGGAGAATTTACTTTGAGCTTTATTTGCAGTAGCAGTTTATATGTACTGAGACACGCATCTCCCATATGAAGTATTCACAATGTTTGGTTTGACGATGAGGCCTTCTGATAGATATTTAAGTATTAGATTGGCTTATATTTGATATTTGAGTCATAACAAAAGACCTCCGGTTGAAGCATTCAGTGCCATAGGCTGATCTTTTAGTGCTGTCGTGTCTGTGGTTATTGAGGAGCTTTGGTTTCTGACACCAAGTGAATTGGTCATCAAGGAGTGCTCTCAGTAGCATGCCAAGGATTGTGAAAGCGATGTAGAAGACTGAACAACTAGAGAAGGCAGAAGAAAAAAGGACATTGAACAATGAACGGAGTGAAAATGGCTCCTAAGCAGGTGGTAGGATGAGTGAGTGAGTCCTGGTTTCATGGTGGCGGGAAGCATGCTTTTCAAGCCAGTCTGGCATGCCATATACTTGAACATTCCCTTCAGGTTCTAGGTGGATTAGAAATGTTGTCATTTATGCCTCTTAATTTTGTAAAATGCTTAAATAATAATGTCTGTTGGGTATAACTTCCTTGTCATCAGGGCTCTTGCAGCTGTGCACAGTAGGAGTAAAGGGCTGTGGCATATATCTGGTTATTGATTACTCATTTAGGAGCGTGTCACCTCCTTGACTAAAGTATCAAAAGTCATTTAGACTTGGTGATAGGTAGTCGAGAGTGCCTTTTCTCTTTAGAAAAGAGTCTTGCACTGAAGAATCCCTTTCAACAAAAGGACCAGATGTGGTATCAATACTGTGTGGCTATTTATTTTTACCCCATATCACACAAATGTCAGTCTGTCCTTTTTTTATCACAAGGCTCAGATGATTCTGCAGTGGTTTTCTTCTTTGGTTGGGGTTTTTTTACTGTTATGGTCTTTTCAGTCAAAAGAATTAGAAGTGACTTTTTTTTTTTCTTAGCTGAAGTTTGTTTGTGCCTGAATAGTTACCAAACATGAACTACAATCAATGTTAGTGGCACTTTTTGAACAGCTAAAAGAAGTTTCATATACCGTATTTGGATTGGCTCAAGAAACCTGCTGATCTTCAAATTTTGAAAGATTAATCTAATACTTAGCTTTTGCTTTAGCAATTAGATAAGTAATGTGCGAATACCAGTCATTCTCCTGTATTTCTATTGTCAAAACCTTCAAGTTCTGTCTACAAATTTATTGCAGTCTGCAGTAGCATCAACTTCCAATTTATTGTTGGCACAGAAATCTTCAGCAAATTGAAAATATAGGGGGAAAAAATAAAACTGAGTTAATATTAAAATAAAGCAAGTGATACTGGCCTGACTGGGAATATGGAAACCTGTATCTGAACTTATTTGAAGCTCTGCAGAGTTTCCATTTTGTCACGTAAAGCAGCATAATGGTGAGCTTTAAACCCAGTTTGCAACAGAGTAGGCAAGGCTGTGCTTACTGGCTTAACATTGGAACTGTAAGTACAGTAGCGTAAATGCTTTCTAGAGTTTCTCTTTAGCCTGAAAGTGTTTCTACTGTTCCTCATTATTACCCATCACTCCTTGTTGCAGTCTCCTTTTCCTTGCCCTTAGCTTCTGCATATTGTGCACTCTTGCTGCCGGGAGCTGCTGAAAAACTCTCGCTAGCCTTATCGACAGAGTGCTGTTCCTTGCCTGAGACTCGGCAAACTGGAGGTAGGTCTCATAGTTAAGTTTATCTTCCAGCATGGTGTGCTCTAAACACTAAGAACACCTTTGATTTAGTGGGTATTAAGTGCAAACTTTCAGTGTGCAAGCCTAAATATCTTTTGGGCAAGACTTCAGAAAATTAGGGCTTGGTGTCATATCAGGTGACTGTAGAGTTGCAGAGTAAATTCCCGTTCAGTGGGCTGTACCAGCTGTCCGTGAATATGCTTGTAGATGCAGAAACTCTCATTCTGCAGTGAAAAAATACGTAGTTGCATTTCCTCGTATATGTTGAAGATGAAGGGTATACAAATGGTCAGTAACCATAGCTTAACTCTGGAGTTAAATGAGAAGCTAAATGAGTTTAATGAAGTTAAAGCTCCAGAGGGAGGTTTTTTGTCTTTTGGGTTTATTGGGTGGTTTTGGTTTGTTAAGCCTTCTTTTTAGTGGGAGTCGCTTGGAAAGAGCATTCCCTAGAAGTTGAAATTTCATTAAATTGTTTTAATCTGTATGCTGCAATCAATGTAGAAGTCTAAAGCTGAAAGCATCTTTAGATCTGTACTATAGGAAGACATCTGAAATTATTATGTTGCAAATTAGCTGCTTTCAAAGAAAAGGAAGGCAGTAAATTCAGGATTGCATACTTCTGAGTATATGTTTTTGAAAATGTCACGGTTTTGCTTAATATTAGACATTAGCCTTTGATATTCTGAAATGAAGCTGGCAAAGTGCAAACCTGTTGCAAGAAGGAAAGCTGTTTGCCTATGCACGTACTTAAATGAGAAGGGATAATGCAAAAAATACGTAATTCGTTCTGTGCTTATGTGCACAGTAGATGCTGCATGTACTGTTCTTTCCTTTTCTGCAACATTTTTGTAAATTAATGCGAAGAGACCTTGGTGTTGGAAGCTTAAATCTGGCAAAAAACCTAACGAAGTCTTTCTCCTTCCTTCCCAAAACACAAGGATTTAAGTTTTCAGAAGTTATTTTATATAACCAACCTGAAACGCTTAAAAGAGGCTTGATTTTCAGGAAGTGATGAACTGCTCAAAAGTGGTCTTAGTTTGACTTGATGAAAGATGGGTGCAGTATCCATATGGCTAAGTTCCAAATCACTTGCTGTGTTTAGTAGAATGTTAAATAGAATTGTAAAAAAATCAGGGAGTTCTTTTTGCAGTATTCATCCTAGCTTCCTTCCAAACAGTGGTGAGATGCTCGGTTTCTGCAGGAGGCAGACTATGCTTTTCAATCTCAGAAATGCTTTTCCAGCTGTTGAGGAGACACATGCTGTTAAAGAATCTACCTGCTATGAAAAACAGTAAGCACAGTCTCGGTATTTGTTGATTATGGACAAAAGGAAGATGTAATAGCTGATTTAAATCATCATTTCAGCCTCACCTGTTCTAGATATTTGTAGGAGAGGTGGTGAAGGTAGTGGGGTTATTGAAAATTGGGGAAAAAAAAATCATAGTATGTCAGGCTGCATTTGGTTTTTAAACTATGCTTTAATGGATGATAAACTAGTATTTTTGAGGTTAGTAGTTTTACATTTGCACCTAGCTGAGGATTGCTTGGGCCCTTTTTTTTTTTTAGTGGAGTGTGACCTCTTGCACAGCTGTAATGTGATATTCCAAGCAAAGCATTTCCTGTCATATTCAGTGCATACATGCAAAAGTAGACCGTACAACACCTGCTTTTTAATGTGCTAAATATCACGTCCTCTGGAAACAGTTGGATGATTTAGGTGGATATTTAACGAGTGAGTGAAGGACAACACCAAATTGCAGTGCCCATGAAGTGTCTGGGACTTGTGGATTTACTGGGACCTTTGCTTAAAAATGGTTTAGACTGAGGGAAACAGAGCTGTTAATTCATAAAGGTGCTAATGAATGACTTACAGAATGGACGCGTGGGTTACTGAGTCACAATATGTGGCTTCTGCGGGCTAATTCAGTTTATCTTTGTATGTACTTATTTATAGCCTCAGGTCATAAGAACTCTGCATGTGCCTTAAACAAATGTGATCGCTTAATATCTGCATTACTATACCACGCTCCTGGCCATGGTACGGGTTTTTTTTGCTTGGTTTTAAGTGATCAAGGGGAAGAACGTCCATTAGAAAAAATGTGAGAAGTTGCTCTAATTTGAGCATCATCTGGCTCTGGCACTTCAGAGTGTACAGAATAAACTTAGCGGTTACCCAGAGTTTGGTGCTGTTCTGGAAATGCTCTTATTCGTCTTTTTGTCCTTTAGGCACACCTCGTCATTCTCCAAAGGTCAGAAAGCTACTTTGGTTTTTTTTTTCCATCCAGCCATTCAGTGTGGAGTGTTTCTATCTCCACCCAGATTGTCAAAACTGAATATTTAAACAAGATGTTGGTGGCTTGGCTTACTACATTTTTTTTTTTTTTTTTCTTCCTTCCTCCTAAAGAAAACCAGTTGGGAAGCTACAGTCAAGTCTGACGGACCTTTGAAGGCTGTAATTAAAATGTCAGAATAAGGAGGGGTTTTTATGGCTGTTAATTCTCAAGTCAGAACTGTCTTTTCTTCCTGTTCTTCTTTACTCTAGTACTAATAAAATACAGGTTTTTCAGGTGGCACTTCGGACATTTTAATTGCAACGTGATGGTTTGGGAAATGAAAAACAATTATTATACAGCTATTCAAATTATGTGCAGTTTTAATGGTTATTTCTAGTAAAGTTGATATGGAGTACTGCCCTGAGAGCCTCGAGAGTGATACAGGTGGGGCTGTCATTATGGGGAGAACAGGAGACTAACACTTTCGTTTCTTGTAGGCCTGAGGATACGCTGCTCTCTGTAGGTAAAGCCTTTTAGTTAGCTTCCCATCCTCTACTCCCTTTTGTTGTTATTGATCCTATATTTTTCCACATTTCAGGTCAGCCAGAACAATATTACCATGATGTCATCCCCTTCTCCTGTCCAGCAAGCTCAAACGCCCCAGTCAATGCCTCCGCCACCGCAGCCACAGCCATCTCCTCAGCCAGGCCAGCCAACTTCTCAGCCAAATTCAAATGTCAGGTGAGCTAGACTGCAGCTTTTGAGGACGTTTGTCACAGCCGTAAGGCTGAGGTTTTCAGAAGCATTCAATGTATCTTACTCTCTTTCCGTTGAAGTGAATGAAATTTAACATCAACTTCAGTGAGAGCACAGGTGGGATTGTGCCGAACACACTCTGAAAACCCCTGTTTTAAATAAAGCAGCTGTGTATGAAATCCTCACCAAGTGTACTGGCAGAGCTACAGAGTGCCATAACAATGCTTACTAAAAGCATATCTGTCACAGGCTGATCATGCTTCCTTGTCAGATTCTGGCAGGTTTGATTTTATGCTTATTTTTCAGCTCTGGCCCAGCTCCATCACCCAGCAGCTTTCTCCCCAGTCCATCTCCACAACCATCCCAGAGCCCAGCAGCTGCACGAACACCTCAGAACTTTAGTGTCCCATCCCCAGGTCCTTTAAACACTCCAGGTAAATTGTCTGAGAACTGTACTGCAGATTGTGAGTTGGGGTATGTTTTGGTAACTGTGACAGTTCCCAGGAAACCTGTTATTGTTTGGCAGGATGTAAACTTTAGAGCGCTCTACAAAGCAGCCAGCATTGCAAGCAGAGAACATGTCACACGCGCCATGTAACACAACAGCACGGATATCCCACATCAAAATCAATTGAAACCTCTTCTCATCACTGAACTATGTAACGGGTTTTTCTAACTTCCCCAGTCTTTTGAAAAAAGAATGATACTTAAATTAATGGAGCAAGTTTACAGAGGCATAATGATTCCTTAGCTCCATGCAGGAAGGAGCCCTTAGCAGCAGCATGCAGTTGTAAAGGATGTAACCACTTAACCACAGGCAGCAGGCTGCTTTGCTCCACGACACCTTCCTCGGTGTACTGTGACACTTGTGCTCTCCTCTCTCCCAGATGTAATAAGCAGTTTCTGATACTGTGAATGGAAGTAACGTGCTGGCTCCTTCTCATACCGGTGTTGTGTGCTCTGCAGTTTGGAAAGCACCGACTTAAGGAAAACTGCAGCAAATTGGGTGTGCTGATTTAGTGTTTAATGCGCCAGAGTGAAGGCAAAATGAGGACCTAGAAAATGGGTATATGAAATGTTGGACCTTTTCAGAAAAAATTGTATTAAATGGGAATTCCCGTTCTGTCCACAGAAGATGTTATTTCTGCACAAAGATTAGAGGGCTGGACAAGCACTTAAACTGTGGAGGGCATCCAGTTGTGGATTTGGATATTTGACGTGAGCTACACTTTGAGAGTGCCACATTTCAGATCTAGATTCTGAAATGTGAGAATGCTGTTCTGCAGTACCTTTGATCACACCTGTGACATGCAGCCTTTACTTCTTACTAGGGAATCCAAATTCTGTCATGAGTCCAGCCAGTTCTAGCCAGTCAGAGGAGCAACAGTATCTGGAGAAACTCAAACAGCTATCAAAATACATTGAGCCACTCCGGAGGATGATCAATAAGATAGATAAAAATGAAGGTGAGGTTCCCTCTATTTAGTCATGCATTTCTCTCTGTCAGCTATCTCTTCTGATGAAAGCAGCAGTACCTCACCTTTTGTGATGGTTTCTATTCCAGGGATTAAAAATGACAGTGAAAGTTAGTTGCTCTTGCTTGCCTATGACTGTAAAGGTTTTACTGTGAAGAGTGGGTAAAATCCTCATCCTTAAATTCTTATCACTTTTTTCCTTTGCTTCTGATGTTTGAGACTCACAGAGCTTATGCAATGGATATGCTTATGATTAGATGAAAGATCTTGGATCCTCACTGCTTGCTTCAGTGTTGGCTCATGTCTTCACTTTTAACAGTATACTGTATTTCTGTCTGCAAGTATGGAAGCTATTCTCGTAGTCAGTGTTTGTGTCTCCGATATTCTTTCAGATAGGAAGAAGGACCTGAGTAAAATGAAGAGTCTCTTAGATATCCTGACCGACCCTTCAAAACGGTAACTCCTTTTCCTTTTGGCTGGACATCAGATTTCCCAGCTCTTCCAGAAATCTGTTGTTTAGCATCCAGCCATGTTGGCATTGAAGCTGTCTGTGGGGCTCAGATAGCAGAAGCACTTCAGCCGAGGTGACCGTTTTGTGGTAATGAAATTTCTCCTCTTCTGCAGATGCCCTCTGAAGACACTGCAGAAATGCGAAATTGCTCTGGAGAAGCTGAAAAACGATATGGCTGTGGTACGTAATGCTTTGCGCTAGCAAGAGAGAAGCAATTAATTCCAAAAGGTCTTATGATTTGGCAAGATAATTTTCTGCATTTCTGGTTGCTCATGCTGTTTAAGACTTCAAGTAAGGTTGGACAAAATAAGAAAACAGGAAAAAATGGGCAAGCGTTTACTTCGTGTGTCACCTGTATGTATCTTTTAACTGAACTTTCAAATTCTTGTGCTTTGTGCAAAGACTTGAGTAATTCTTTCTACAAACCTTTTTTTTTTAATGTTACTGTATGCGGTTTTGAGAATCCTTTGCATTTCATCCATTGGAAGTTTACTACTATAAAATTTTGCAGAATCAGTAGTAGAGATTTCTTTTCTGGTGATGATTAAAAGAAAAGGGGCTTCTCTTGTGTTTTAGCCTACCCCACCGCCTCCCCCAGTGCCCCCCACCAAACAGCAGTACTTGTGTCAGCCGCTCTTGGATGCTGTTTTGGCCAACATCCGCTCACCAGTCTTCAACCACTCCCTTTACCGGACGTTTATGCCAGCTATGACTGCAATTCATGGACCACCGATCACGTATGTATCGTTGACTTGCTGTCTGTCTTAAATGGTCATTATTTAAGGGAAAAATATTTATTTGTAGAAACTATTAAAAGAACAGATGGGTTTACGGATGGGTGTGAGTTATCTCTTTCCTTTTTCCACCTGTAAAATATTTGACAAATGCAGTGTTGGCATAACACTTTCACCTAGTCCTTTTGTGGACTGTGTTTTACATAGGGCCCCAGTTGCTTCCCCTCGAAAACGGAAATATGAAGAGGATGAAAGACAGACCATACCAAATGTCTTACAAGGGGAAGTCGCAAGATTAAATCCTAAATTCCTGGTGAACCTGGACCCTTCCCACTGCAGCAATAACGGCACAGTTCATCTCATATGCAAGCTAGGTAAGCAAGAAGAAACTAAGTGCTGAATTCAGGAAGAAGTGCTGAGCTTGACTGTAGAAATTTGAAGAGTTTTTTGCTAACAGTCTTGAATCTTGCCAACCTGTGACTTCTGCATGAAGTCTGTACTTACCAGATTCGTAGCACTGCTTAATCGTGACATTCCGCACGGCTGCTTCAGTGTACACTGGAGATTTCCTTCACACCGATCCTTTCTTTGCACTGAAGTTGCAATTGGCAATCTCGTTTAGCGTCTAGAAAATTACTTGTCGCGAGCAACAATCTTGATTCCTGATTTGACCTGTACCGAGATGTGAGAATTATTCTGCCTCCAACAACTAGGACAGAGCTAGAGAAATGTTAATTTTTGGGAGGGTCTGTTTCAATTTGTGCTAATGACCACTGACAGTGGTGTATGTTCAAGAAAGAAATTGAGATTGCGTCTTTTTTTCATCTCAGCTGAATAAGCATAAAGCGTTACAGCCTATTCGCTTGTTTTGCTCTTTGGATTCCAACGGGGAAAATAGATTCTTTCCTCCTCCCCATTGTTTGAGAAATCTGAACTGGTTTTGTCCTGAATATTAGTACGTAAGGCACTTCATTCTCAATAATGAGGTGTCTGACTTAGTGAAGTTCAGCTGATGAAATGGTGAGACTGGCGAGGTGCAGAAATGTGTAAGAGATGGAGCTATGTTTGCCAGGCTTTTTTCCCAAGAATTTGAGAGTGGTGTTAAAGCGAGCAATGAGATTGCCTTCCAGTAAAAATGGACGGGCACAGCCTCGTTCCTCCTTGGGCTTCAGAGGCTAGAAACCAAGCTGAGTTATGCACAAAAACCCCTCCGTCCAGCAAGGAATGCTTTGTTCTGATGGGAAGTGTGTTTGCGTTCCAGACGACAAGAATCTTCCAAATGTCCCACCACTACAGCTCAGCGTTCCAGCGGACTATCCCGATCAGAGCCCTCTGTGGATAAAAAACCCTAGGCAATATGGTACGAGGACGTTGGGCATGTGTACGTGGTAATAGTGGGGAGATGCGAACGCCTAATGTTACTCTTTTTTACATTTTTTTTTAATACTGTTTTTATTATAACTCCATTTATCTGTTATCTTTTTTTCCAGCAGCCAATCCCTTTTTGCAGTCAGTGTATCGGTACATGACTTCAAAACTGTTGCAACTTCCAGACAAGCATTCAGTCACGGCACTCTTAAACACCTGGGCACAAAGTATTCGTCAGGCCTGCCTCTCCGCTGCGTAACATCTCGCTTTCGAAATCGGGAAGCGGGAAAGAAGGTCTCAACAGCTGGCCTTTCCACATGCCACTGGAAAATCACGTTTTGGGGAGGGTACTTCAGAAGAAAGAAGCCTTATGTTGTTTTGTTTCTAGGTGTCAGGTTCAGTAGAGAACCTGATGTTAGATTTAGCTTTCATGCTTTTTATCTTCTGCCTCTGTGGACTTTTGCCAGCATTTTCAAATATACAAAATGTGTATATATGGTTCTTGAGACTGTCTTAGGATGAGTTTTTATTGTCTTCTTAGAGAAGAAATTATTTGTGGACTTCCATCGGGGAGTCTGGTATAAGAGGGAGTAGGGAGAGAATGTCTTAATTTGCTTCAAAGTTTGCTCAGTGCCAGTATTCCTTTCACACTGTCTGTTCTGTGACCTGATGCTGCCCCAGAAATAAATTAGCTGCAACTAGAATGCGCGTGCAAACTTCTCGGTGGTTGCAGGAATCTTTTTGCCTATTAGCTTTGCCCAGAGATGGGATAAATTACAGCCTTTTAAGGCATCCCTCAAATATGTGAGAGAAATCGGGGTAGTTATACCTGGGGGCGGGAGGGGAACCAAATAGAGAAAAGAAGTATCTTATAGCTTATTTAAAACACTACGTTGTGTAAACGGCTTTTGGTTAGCATGGACCACATGTTTCTCACTCCAAGAGAGTGAGGTGATGAGAAAGAAGAGATCTTAACGTGCACACCGACTCGGCCAAGGTGGGGGGAAGACCCAGCAGTACACGCCCCGTGCCACACGTCAGTCCAGCAGGCTTTAGCTACGTTTCTTCGTTTACTGAGTCTCTCTGAGGCGTCTGGCTTCCTTTGGGCGTTGATGCTGTTCAGTGAAAATGCTTCTGTGCTACATCAGTTTGTTTAAAAAGAAAAGGAAAAAACCAGCATAGCTGAGGAGCAGAACGGACACCTAGTATTTTGTGCCTTGAGCAGTGGTGGGCATTCAGGTCAGTCATCAGCTGCTTCAGCGTTGGGCCCTTCTAGGGAAAACGTTTGCCACGAGTAAGTAATTTCATGCGTAGTGTGATTGTTTCGTTTTCCCCATGCTTCTAAGTTGCTCACTCTTAATTTCCTGGTGCAGAAGAATTTCAGGGCTCCCGTTACATCCTGCTCCGTCTCCCTCTATCGTGCAGCAGACCTTAAAGAGCAGCTGGGCTCACTTACCCTAGTGTCAGGACGTTGCTATGACCTTCGTAAATGCGTGTGGTGTCATCAGGTTTAGGATGTTTTTAAATGTGGGTACGTAGTAAGCACTGACTGAGGCAGCAGAAGGCTGTCAGTATTTTGTACATGAACTAATGCATTATCTGTTTGTTTCTATTGTAATAAATTTATTATTATTCCTGTGTTGGATGCCAGCGTTGTACTGCTCTCCCCACGGTGATCGTTAGGTACCGGTTCTCTTGTGTCCCTCGGATGACGGTTACTTTGTTCTATGGTCAGCGAAAACTCGCGTGCTTTGAAGGTTAGGGGAGGGAATCCTCAATGGCTCTTTGTGCCCTGCAACGCGGTCTTCCCTGTCCTCACAGTAAACTGGAAGACCTGCTCAAGAGCTTAGTGGCGGTATCTACAAGCGAGAGAGGCAGTTGTTTAACCAGGACCATTACGTGGCTTAGGGCAAAAGAACCAGCGGCACCAGTACTTTGTAATACGTCATTAAGTCATAACCCAAGAAATAAGGATAGAGGCAGGGGCACGGTTAAAGGTACTGCTAGGGTCTAGCACTGAGACAGTTAAAGGATTTATTTCTTAACAATTGGGTTAAAACACATCGGGAAATCGCTGCAGAACAGGCACGTCCCTCCGCTTTACCACAGCCTTCCCGGTGCAGGTTTCAGAGCTGTCACTGCAGTGCCTTTCAGTCTTCCTTCAAGCACGCTGTAACGCGCCGGTGGCTGCCGCGCCGGGCGCAGCACTTGCCGGGCTCCCGAGGCCAGAACGTGGGGAATTGTTTCAGTTGCTGAGCGCGTTCCCTCCCGAGACCTGCCGTGCCATTTACTGGGAGCGCTTTAGCGCACTGCTTGCCTCCTGTGCCATCGTGGGGGTGAGTACTGCGAACGTGGAGGTGCCTAACAGAGAGATGCACGTGACTTCATTTAAAAAACCAACTCGACCTTTTAGGTAGTAGTATCGTGGAAGGTGCGAGACAGCATATAATACAGACTTGCTTCTAGGGGACAGCGCTAAGTACTTCTACCACTGTAATGTTAAACAAAATCCGCCCCCCACCATTCTCAGTTTATGTTTCCAAACTTCAGATTCCTTATTAGCCAACAGCAGAGCTGCTGCGAGACTGATGTCTCATTCTTCTCCCCTCAAAAAGAAGTCATTCACTAGATTCCATAGGAACACCTTTATAAAAATAAAATTTACATTGATTATCTGTACTCCACCAGACCACAGCATTGTTTGTTTATAAAACTCAAGGAGCTTTAATGTTAAAAAATACTTTAGGAAGATCTGATATGATAATTCAGACATTTTAGTCATTGAAGCCCAGGCTCATCCTTAAAACATTTATTTTCACAAGTGTAAGCTGAGAGAAGGAAATCAGTGTTCATGTGGCTTCCACCCTTCAGAGAAAAAAGTCATTATTACGGCATAAAGAAAATAGCCCATGAGGATAACGAAGGTGCAGCCCACGGGCCCAATGTGAAACCAGGGTGCAATGAAGTAGATGAGCAGCAGAGAAACGAGAGTCCGGTAGCTGGCCAGAAACCTCAGGCTGATCCTGGGTCCCCAGTTCTGGCTGGTTCGGTCCTTCGCCACGGGACTACGCCTGATCTTCTGTACGAGGTGGGGGTGGGTAAGATGATAGCGACAAAGCCGGCCAACAAAGTCTTCCCTGGAGCAAAGCACATCCATCTGAGCAGCGAACTGAGGCAAGAAAAGTTTACACGTTAGGATTCTACTGCAACTACTGTCATAAAGTAAGTGTGACTTATTTGACAATTTTCTTCGTTTATAGGATGAGAATTACAGAAAATAGAGGGGAAGAAACAGCAAATGCACTTTCAAATAGTAGAACTGCTTTAGTGCAGACTTGCCTTTTACCTATCATATCTATAGAAAGAAAAGGATTGGCTTTTTCTGTTTTAGAAACATTCATTCTGAATGATATTGCTGAAGAATACATTTAAAATGTTATTTATTCATGTTTTGTGTAGGAAAAAGAACTACAGGTAGAGAGGCAGGCCTGATACCATTAGGAAATAATACCCATCTAGACCACAATAAAGGAGACAAAGCCAGTGGCACATATGTGCAGGTGCAGTGAGGAAGAGGAATTTCAATGGAAGACACAGAAGGAGGCAGTGCTGTACTTACCCTTTCGTTAAGCGCCGAGGACAAACGAAATAGGAGGCGGACAAGGGTGGCATTTTCATAGCTTCGGATGGGCTGAAGCTCAGCATCTCCTTGATACCGCACCTCAAATCTGCGTAAGCCATTTATGATCTAGAAACAGGAAAATAAACCCCTTCTCTTGTAGCTCCCCTCTGAAGCACCTTTTGCTGGCCCCTCTCTTGGCCCCAGATAAACTGCATTTCTGTTGATGCAGAAGGGCACCTTGTTTTTTCAAGAACAATCTAGGGCCTCTCTCACCTGGTACCTGCCAAGGGGTGTAAGAACCAGGCCCTCCTCGCTTTCAATGCAGTCTGGAAGCTGTTTTTTTCCATTCTCATCTTCAGCAGTCCCACACTTCATCATCATCTGGGTCAGCTGGGCTTCATTCAGCTACTCAAGAACAACACCATTTAAAGCATGTGTTTGATCTACCCCTTCTATTTCATTTCTTGCAGTTAGACATGAGGAGGAGATAAAAGTCTCCAGCTTTCTTGTCTGTGCTCGTCAAGTCCCAGCGAGGCGTTCTGCTTTCTACGTATGTCCCTTACTCCGTGAGAGCTGGCAGAGAGCTGTCTGCTCCTAGGTCAGCTCTGTACGGGGGAGTGCGGCTGGCAGAGAAGTGAGCCGCCTCTTCCAAGCGCAGACAAAGCAGCAGCCTGCTCCCAGCCCATCCACTCACCTACAGCTGCAGTTACGCATTGTATTGTTATAGCTCTTTACATTTAGAGGATATTGGACTGTTCTTGAACCTTAAGCCATGTCTGTCTTGCCTGTTTGTAAACATGAGAACAGGCACAAGTAAAGAGCCAAGTTTGGTATAAACTGTAGTCCAAAAGAGCGGTCACTTGAAACAAAGTGGGCTTAATATTTGGAAATTGAGAGCACCTAGTTCTATCTATACTGAAAGCGGTTTTGAAGTGGTCAGGTAAAGTCAAGCCCAAAAGACGTTTACAACAAGATTTGCTAAGCAGGGTCGCTGGGTGGCTTTGTGACCCCACGAAGTACAAGAGTGACAAGGGCCTTTGAGGAACCCTGACTCTCGTTCACGCGGCCACATAGGGAAGGTTCTTAGAAAGATGGTACCTACCTTAAAGATTTGGCACAAGTATTCCAGTGCCTTCTCTAAATATTCATCTGTTTTTTTGATGCTGTCTTGCCCAATTTCATCAAGGTCATTGCCTGTGTAGGAACCGTTCATCTCAGATGGTGTAAATCTAAACCATGAAAAGAAGGACTGGCTAGCCGTGGTCTCTGCAGAATGGTCCGATATGGATTTTGCTGTCTGCTGCGCCTGACAAATTAACTGAGCCAGTTTTAACACCTAAAACAAACAAAAAAATTCATCATGTGGGACAAACATAAAGGACCACTAAGCATCAATGCATGGATAAAACCACGCCCCGATACCTGGCACTGAGAGCAAACCCAGCAAACTCGCTCTCTTAGCTCCTATGGACTTGTGCTAAGACTGTTTGTTAGTTGCACTTCCACCAGGGCAAAGGTAGTTCTTTGCTGTTGAAGCACTTACGGAACTTGAGTGCTGCTTAGGTTTTTCAGCTGCTTTTTTTCCTCCTGCTATTTTTATCTGATTTGCTGATGGGTACCAATCAATACAGTGAGTCAGGAGTTCACGGTAAACATCTTGGAGGAAATACTCGCAATATACTACTCCGAGGCAGCCATTAACTTCTGTTAATTGTTAACATTAACTTCATGCTAAACTGCTGCATGAACTTCTTGGGTAGCAAAGAGCAAGCAGATGTTCACAGCTGTGCTGGATCGCAACCCCTCACGTTCCAGAACTCACCATCAGCAAACTTAATTATACAGCAGCGCAGGGCGTGACGTGTCCCTCTCTCCACTTCTCATAATATGAGAAAACACCTGTCGAAGCAGAAAGGCCGGTGACAAGAAACTTGTTGCTTACCAAATTCCTGACTTCTGTGCCAAACATCTGTTTATACTGGAAGTCCTGCCCTTCCAGGCTGTAAACGTGACTCTTCACCTTAAACGAGGCATCTGTAATAGTTGGAGGCCACGATGAGAAGAAGCTCCCGCCAAGCGTGG